ACACACCTTCCAGCCTTGCCTTTCTCTCCCGCCTCCTCAAAGCAGTGAGACTTTGTTCTTGTCCATGGTGCTGAAACACCCGCTCCCTACTAGCCACCTATAGAATCAGGGGGTCTAATTCTGAAATGTCAGTGGGCAGGAGGGGAGAGATGAAGCACACAGTAACTGCCAGCCCCCGATGTGTTTGCCCAGGTGAAGTCTGGTTATAGGAATATCGAGGACAAATCCACAAAGAGCAAGCAAGGAGAGGCCCCTGCTCTCTCCCTCTTGTCTCAGTGGGGCAGTGTTGGGCAGAGGCAGGGCTTTTAAGACAAGTGACCTGGCTGCAAACCATGCCTCTACCACTTACTCACACTGTGGCCTTGAGTCTCTGTTTCCACGTCTGTAAAGTGGGAGAAACAATACGCAGCTTACGGAGTCGCTGTGGGGCTGTGGGTAACCAATGCATGCACAGTGCCCAACACAAAGTGCTACGTACATGGTAGCCCCAATGTGGGCTCAAGGTATGTGTATGAAGTTGGAGAAATTTCAGCACCCTCGGGAGCCGGGCCCTTCTGCCAGCAGCTCTGGCTCCCCAAAGCAGCACAGACATCAGGATAAATGCTCTGACTCACCGTGCTGTAGCAAGGCAGAAGGGCGGGCAGGCGGGGGTCGGGGGGATCTGCTTTTCTCTTTCCTCTTCTCGTTTTCTCTCCTCCAGATTGGTCTCCACATGGCTTCTGTGCCCCCCCCCCCATGGTCAGCCAGGACAAGAAGCTCCTGCTTCCCCAAAGAATCTCCTAAGAGCTGCCATGCCTTCGAATTGATGCCATCAATAATGGGACAGACCATGGGGGGGAGCCACCATCTCCAAAAGGCCCCACCCACACGGGAACCCCTCGGAGACCTGGTGACCTGGGGCAGGAGAGAAGCAAGCAAGAACCTTGGTCTTGTCAGAGCTCTAGGGCATGGGGGACTGAGGGAGAGACCTTGGGGACAATCATCCAGGAATCGAGTTATAGATCACCTGAGATTCCCTCTCTGCTCTTCCTGGGAACAACCATGGGTGTTTCTACTCTTCTCCCCCAAAGAGTTGACCCAAGAACATAGGCAGAAGGGAAGAGAGAAAGTAGGATTCCTTCCCCAGGTCACATTGTGCCAGAACAAGGTCATAAGCCAAAGCACCAATGACCCTAAATCGGCACTGTGACCCCATTTGTTGAGCGCTTACTATGCATCAGCATTTGATATTCATTGTGCCGTTCAATCTTTATGTGAGGTAAGTGTTATTATCTCCATTTTGCAGAGGAGGTTCAGAGAGGCAAAACAACAGCAGACTTGTGTTGAGTCAGGGGCCAAAGTCATTTCTGGCTCCAGGAGCTGCACTTCTTCTGCTTCACCATCCTGCTGCCATTTGGGGGGATGGCATCCATGGACCATAGTCAGGGTGGGGTTGCAGAAACCCTACCACTGTCACCGAGAGCCCTTCATGGAGCAGGAGCCAATGGCAACCGTCAGCCCACACCCTGGGCTCTGGCTGGTGCCGATCTCACCCTCCCCACTTCTCTCTGCCCCGTACCCACCTCACGGCCCCTCGTGGTCACATTGCTTCCACATGCCCCTTATACGTGTCCATGACAAGTGTGACTGTCAGAGGGCAGCCACCTGGAGGACAACTTGGCAGTGCCTTTCCAGGGGCCAATTCCACTCACAGGTAACTATATCCATAAACACCCGCACACGCCTGCACACTCGGCAGGTACAAGAAGGTGTCCCACAGCACTATTCGTGATAGAAAAAAAAATCAGAAATGGCCTAAATGTCCATCAGAAGGAGAGTGGTTAAATAAACCCACTGTAGAATACTAACAGGCTTCAAAGAATGAGTCATGCCCTGCCTGGCGTGGCTCAGTCGGTTGAGCGTCGACCTTCAGCAAGGCCCTTCACCTCTCTGTGCCTCAGTTTTCTCATCTGCATAACGGGAATCATAATAGCATGTACCTCATATGGCTGTAGTAAGAATTAACTTAATTAAGATGGTGTGCAGCAAGGTATTCAGGCAGGGCCTGGCACATAATATGTACCACGTGTTAGCTATATTGCTGCTGAGTGTCCAGTTCATCTCTTTGATGACGGTGATGATGATGCTGGTGGCATCAATAGTGTTTTTTCCTAGAAAGACTCAAAAGGGGGTGAGCTCCCCAGGACCATTTTTGCCACAAGAGGAAAGGAGAACATTTGTTTAGCACCTACTATGTGCCAAGTGTACGTATATTATCTTATTGGTTCTTCAAACAGCCTCAGGTGCTAACTAGCATTACCCTTGGGGTGTAGAGAGTTGGAGGACTTGTCTGAAGTCATCTGGATGTGATGGGAAGGAGGCAGGATTTGAGCCCATGACCAGCCAGACACACAGGCTCCTGCACCGAGCCCTGACTCCACCAGGTCGCCCCGGACCCAGCAGCAGCCAAGCCTGCCATGCTCGACACTGCTCCTCCGTCAGCCTCTCCCCAGTGCAGCCCCTCCTCTCCCTCTGAGATATTTCTGTGATCGCAGCCTCCCCCTCTGAGGAGGAGGAGGCAGGGATGGAAGAGATGGATTACTAAGACAGAGTGATGCATAGTTGGGTGAGGGAGGGTGGGAAAGCTGGGAGGAGGGAAAGGAGAAGAAATTGATGGGAGAGAAGTGGGTAGAGGAAGATGGAGGGACGCAGGAGGAAGAGAATGGGGTGAAATGGAGCTGAAGGAGAGAAGGGGAGAAAGATGAGGTGCAGAGGAAGACGATGGGGAAGGGGCTGTGGACCAGAGACACGGAATCCTGGCAGACAGAGAGGAGCTGAGAAAGCAGACACTGCCAGCGGGGGTGAAATGGAGCTGAAGGAGAGAAGGGGAGAAAGACGAGGTGCAGAGGAAGACAATGGGGAAGGGGCTGTGGACCAGAGACACGGGATCCTGACAGAGAGGAGCTGAGAAAGCAGACACTGCCAGCATCCCCACCAAGCTGAGCTCCCTCGCTGGTCCCTCTGGAATCTCCCAAGGATGAGCCCCATTCCCACGGGGGCGCGTTCTCCTCTCTCTTCCTCCTCCCCCGCCCCCACCCCACATTCAGGCAGCCTCTTACTCTGACATCACCACCTCCCACGCCCACAGTCCCTGCCTCAGCTCTAAGCATGACCCCCTTTCTCACAGCCCCTGGGGCCCCACGACCGGGCTGAACCCACAGAGCCACCAGTGGCTTTTCCAAGCCCGTTCGCATGAAGATGCAGGTGTGGAGGGTGGGGAAGAGAAGGTGCTCACGCTGCTCAGCTCCCGTGATCTCGGCCCAGAGGCGCTGGGACTTCGGGCACCCGAGCCCAACTCCCCTCCTTCTGTGGGGAAGCCAGAGGCTGGACTGGGGAGGGAGCTAAGGGCTACATGGGGCTGAAAACAGGAGGAAAGAGGCCCAGCGAGCCCCGGGTTTTGTTCATTCTCATCACTTGCTTTAAGTCCAGGCCCTGAGAGAGCCTCCACCCCCAGGCTGGACGCTTCAGGACTGTCCGAGTGGGAGGAAAGGGGTCATGACCCAGGAGGCCGGAATAGAGGCCACATCCCAGAAGCAAATTCCCAAACGCAGCAATTCTCCGGGCAACATGGACCACGGCACCAGAAGGCCTGCTTAGGAGCCGAGTGGTTTGGGAAGCGAGGGTAGTGGTGGGGTCTGGCACTTCCACACTCAAACCAAGGAAAAGACCTCCCAGGGAGCAGGAGGAATCAGCACAGGCACATGCCTGACGGGAGGGGCCCAGGGGCCATTCTGCCTGGGCGGCAGGTGCTGGCCTCACTGATCCGGGAGGACACCTCCCAGCATTCGGTTTGCAAACACAGGCACAGCGACTGATAGCCTCTGCCTGTCCACGGGGTGAGGTGCCCTCTTATGAGAGCCACACCCTCATCATGGTAAGGTTTCGTGATCAATGTCTGCCTCCCCGACTAGAACATGGATTCCAAGAGGGCGGGACCTTCTCAGCCCAGCTCATCACCACATTCACAGCCTCCAACAGCTCCTGCACACAGTAGGTCCTCCATGCATGTCGCCAAGCAAAGGAACTGATGGACTAAAAAGCCTGGGCTCCATCAGATACAAGAACTGATTCTGAAAGGAGTGGGAGGAAAGGAAGCAGCTTGAACAGGGGTGGGATGGCCAGCTCTGTGAAGCTCTGTGTTAATGTCAGCCCTTCCATCAATGAACACTGAGCACTTAGGATATGCCAGGCACTGGTGCAGGTGCTGGGAATGCAGTAAACTGAGAGACAAGTTCCCACCTCATAGAGCTTACATTCTAATAGGAGGAAATACACAACAGATAAATAAGTGGGAACGTGTATAGCATGTCAAGGGTGGTAAGTGCTGCTGAGAACTATGACGCAGGAAAGTAGGGCTGAAGGAGACCTGGGGAAAGTGTGGCAGAAAGTGGTGGAGTTGCAGAGAAACCATGTGGAGGTGAAGGGAAGGGGCACTCCAGGCGGGGGGGACAGCAAGTGCAAAGGTCCTGAGGCAGGATTGTGCTTGGTGGCCCAAAGGACAGCCAAGAGGCCAGTGTGGCCGAATGAGAGTGAGGAAGGAAAGGAATCCACAGAAGGGGCAGAGAGCTCCTTCGTCACTACAGCAGAGCTTAGTGTGGGGTGGGCGGGGACTTGAAGTGGTAAATGGACACCCTGTAAAATAGCTGAATCACGGAGTCGGAACATCACCTCCCTGCTTACGTCACGAGAGAGTCTCGTGTGGATGCTACTTGGACTTTACCATCCGTCTAACACTTAACAAAGAGGAAGCAGGCCTCGGCTCAGTCCCTCTGACCAATGAGCTGGACTTGGGAACACCGCTGGTTCTGCACCCGCACGGAAGCTGTGTTTGATCACCTTCTATTTATGGCAAAGATATTGATTTTCCATTTCCGGAAGGAACAAGTTCCCTTCCTAAACAAATTCACGGAAGTAAGGAGATAAATGAGGTGATTTAAAGAAAATGCTAAGTACATATGAATGAAGTGGCTTGAAGAGTGGGGGGCGGGGGGGAGGAAGACAGATATCCCAAGGTGGTTCCTTGTGCCTGAAGTTTGGGACATGTTCCTTTACAAGAACCCCAGGAGAGGAGGGGTGGCCCACGGCAGTTCTTCTTACTGCTAAAGAACCAAGCCAGGGCCACAGCCACCTTCCAAGACTCCAGAATGTTCTCCAGTGAGCACAGATAGGGGGAGAGAGCAGGCCTGCAGCCAGGACCTCCTCCCACCCAGCCCCCAGCCAATTCCCTATTCACCCAATGACCCTCAAGGCACCCCCACCCCATCCTGCAAGAGCCTCTTCCACCTGAAGCTACACCAAGATGAATCTGGAGAGCCCAGTTTGAAACTTCCTCCGGCGTGTGACCTACTTCTTTGGGGTTCAGGCCTGGTCAGTCTAAGCCCCCGTCCCTCGGGTGGACAATAGGACTCAGGCAGCACGTGGCCTGGGTGGCAACAGCAGGTACTCCACTTCTAGATGCTGCAGGGCCTTGAGCTGGGAGCACCGACCCCATTCACAAGTGGTTAGGAAGCATTAGCCTGTGCAGTGGAGATCAAACCAGCCCAGGCACACGGGTCCTCCTGGAGCATCCATTCAAGTGGGGAGACAGACAAATCACACAAGTCAACAACCAGTCAGGCAGGACGTGGGTCTGCAGAGTAGTCAGGGGCGGCCTCTAGGGAGAGGTGGCCTGTGAGCTGAAAAAGTCAAGCAAGGGGAGCTCTGGGGGGAAACTTTCCAGGCAGAGGGAACAGCAAGTGCAAAGACCTTGGCACAGAAGTCAGCCTGGTGCCTCCAAGGAACCACCAGGAGAACCATGTGACTGGTGCACAGAGAGGGAGGAGGGTGAGGTGAAGCAAGAGAGGTTGGCAGGATAGGTTCCCAAGGCCAGATCCTGACATGGATATATATATACCAGAGGCCCGGTGCACGGGGAGTGGGCCTAAGCCAGCAGTTGGACATCCCCCGAGGGGTCCTTAGCGCTGCTGGGGAGGCGGGAGAGGCTCCTACCATGGCCACTGTGCTTGCCAGCTGTGAGCCCTGCTTCTGGCTGAACGGTACTCCCCCTGTGGGAGCACACAGACCACCAGGGGGCAGCTCATGCATTGAGCATCTGCCCCCTGGTGGTCAGTGCGCAGTTCAGTCAATTTGCATATTAGGGTTTTATTATATAGGATACACACACACACACACACACTTTTAAAAATTGATTTCAGAGAAGAAAAGAGAGAAAAATAGAAACATCAATGATGGGAGAGAATCATAGATTGGCTGCCTCCTGCACACCCCACACTGGAGATGGAGCCCTCAACCCAGGCATGTGCCCTGACTGGGAATCGAACTGTGACCTCCTGGTTCATAGGTCGATGCTCAGCCACTGAGCCATGCCAGCCAGGCTGGGTCTCCTCTTTACCTTGACAGCTACAGGGAGCCACGGAAGGGTTTGAAGCAAGGAAGTGATTATTCTTTTTCTCTGTTACTCTGACTCCTGTGCCGAAAATGGAGGGGAGTAGGTCTGGAGGAAGCAGGGGGCCAGTGGGAGACTCTCAGAGGCTCCAGGTAAGACTCAACGATGGCTTGGACTAGGACGGTGGCATTGAGATGGCACGCATTTAAAAGACAGCACCAGCAGCTCTCGCTAATGAATCCCACGATCAAAGGGAGAAAAATCATCCCTGTTTCTGGCCTGTGACGTCATGATGGTGCCACTTGCCATGAAGGGGAAGACCCCGGAGGAGCCGGTGGGAGACTTGGGACGCCCTGTATTCCCTGTCGCACATGCCACCTTCCAGAGGCTGGCTGCACCGCCCCATGACGCTGTCCTGTGGACAGTCCCGGGCTGAGTCTGGAGTTCAGACGGAAGGTGGGAATGGCCACTCGGACGTTGCCAGCAAGTGTATACTAAGTGGCAGATGCCCAGTAGGTACCAGTGGCTGCTCATTTCTCTCCAACCCGCAAGCCCCATCTCCCTGCGCACGCGGTACCTGCGATGTCTCCAAGGCCTGGCCTGCCATGCCGGTGGGGAGGGAGGCCACCTGCAGGGCCTGCTTGCGGGCGGCCAGCAGGATCCTGCAGTAGGTGAAGCAGATGGCGCCCGAGGGCAGGAAGAAGGTGAGGCCCGACGCCACGAGGACGAACGGCAGGCTGGCCAGCAGGCGGC